AGGGAAACTGTGCAGCAACGTTTCCTCATTAAAGATATCCCAAATGTTTGCCCATGTGCTAATTTATCAATGAGAGTGATGAAAGTTGAGAAAGTACAGTGGACCCCCGCATACCGTTTTGGGGATACATAATTTAATCCGCATACCGATACTTTTATTTCAAGATTTTGCTCGCATACCGCTAAAAAACCGCTCAAGCTATTCGTCGAGGCGGTCTAATTGCGGCTGAGTCAGCCCCACTGTTCCGCGGTGGCATTTTTTACAGCCAGCCCGCGGTAACATCCAAGCATACCAAAGGAACATTTCGTATTATTACAGTTGTTTTTGGTGATTTTATCTGCAAATAAGTGACCATGGGCCCAAGAAAGTTCTAGTGCCAACCTACAGGAATAAGGGTGAGAATTACTTAGGATGAAGAAAGAGATCATTTCTAGTAGAAAATGGAGTGCGTGGTCTCCGAGCTGGCAAAGGTTGTATATTAAACCCAAACAACATCGCTTCTATTGGTCCAACAAACTGCAATCAAAGGAAGCTGTTCTTGCCAAAGGTTCACTGTGTTTTCGAAAAGAGATTGAATGATGGAAGATGTTGAGAGACTCTATTGGTGTGGTTTAAAAGAAAAACAGATAGCCCTCTCTCAAGTGATCCTAAGTGAAAAGGCTAGGAAGTTGCATGAGGATTTAATTAAAAAATGCCTCAAACTATGATGATGTGAGTGAATTTAAGGCCAGCAAAGGTTGGTTTGAGAGATATTAAAAGCTTATGGCTACTAGTTGATAAGGCATGGTGAGGGTGCCATTCAGACCACAAGCAGCTGAAAAATATGTGCAGGATTCAAGGAGTACATAGACAGTGAAGGATGAACCTGAACAGTGTTTAATTGTGATAAACAGGCTGTTTTGGAAAAAATGCAAAGCGGACCTACATTATAGGGGAAAAGGGTCCCAGGACATAAGCTATGAAAGACGGCTTACTCTGTTGATGTGTTCCAATCTAGGGGGATGCAAAATGAAGCATTTTTTAGTGTATCACTCAGAAACTCCCAGAGCATTCAGGCAAAAAAATATCCCCAAGGCTAATTTGTATGTGCTGGGGAGGGCAAACAGTAAGGCAGGGGTCACTAGGGATTTTTCTATGACGGGGTTACACAAGCATTTGCCCCCAATGTGAAGATTCCAAACTGAAAAAAAATTAGGCCCTTAAGTCCCCCGGGGTTGTTAGACAATCCCCCTGTCATCCTCAGACGTGGCAGAGGATTTTTATGGGGAGATGACTTCTTTAACCCTTTGAGGGTTTTGGTCGTACTAGTACGTTTTTACGCGTAGGGGTTTTGACTATAGTACTCAAAATTTTCTAGCGCCTCAAATCTAGTGGGAGAAAGCTGGTAGGCCTTCATAGAAAGAAGGGGTCTATGTGGTCAGTTGCACTGTCAAAAAAAAAACCCTGCAGCACCGTGCATAAGAAAAAAAAAAAATTTTGACCTTTTTTTTTTAATAAATCAGCGATTTTGCGTGTTTTTTTTCGTAGGTATTTATTGTTTATTCTAGTTTTTTTGGTCTCTTTTTTTAAAAGGGAAGAATATTACAGAAATTGAGTGTTTTTGACTGGTTTTACAATGAAAGGGCCTTTGAAATTGAGCTAAAAAATAGCGAAATGTTCGTTTTTTACCAAACTTAAAAAGTAAAAAAATCGTCCCAAGCGTGCAATCACGTCAACTGGGAGTCTAATATTCTTTCCAAGTGCCCCAATAAATTTTCCCATTTTTTCACTAATGCGTAGTTGATAACAGAAATCTTATATTTTTTGTGAAAATAAAAATTCAAAGTGGAAAGCAAAGGAATATAAGAGAGGCCTTGAGATGTATAAAGACTAAGGAAGTGTCATTTTGTGCCGGAAAAGTCTTTCTTGTTTATTCTGGCCCTATCGGAAATTGGCATCTTTTGAAATTTGTGTGAAAATTGGGAAAATTGCAAAATTCTGACCACTGTACGGATTTGAAATTTTTAAATGGATGGTTTCTTGCACCCCTTTGATAGAAAAAATGGGTTCTAGCGAAATATTTAGTTTTTTTTCGACTGTACGTTGAAAATTTGGCCCAAAATGGGGCTCAAAGGGGCAAAAACGCCGATGCGTAAAAATCGCCTGACCTAACTTTGCGAGAGCATAATTCCCCTAAGTTTTTTTATAAATTTCAAAAATTTTGGTGTCTTTATGATCGGGAAAAAATTCTCTATTTTTAAAGAAAAATAATTTTTTTTTTTTTTTTAAATTTTGGGCCCACCCTGGAAAGGTTCGGAGAGGGCCTGTCGACCCCCAAAGGGTTAAGGTGAAGTTTTTTTCTCCTAAAACCACCCTCTCCTGAGCCCCTGGCCCCCCAGGTTTTCAAAATTTAAAAAACTGTACACAAAGCTCTGTTTTTTAAAGGTGCTTTTTTAGTGACCCTGAAACTCAAAGACTCTAAGAGAGTTTTTGGGGAAAATCACTTTAATATCCTCAATTTTTTAAAAATTATAGGTAAGGCTTGGGAGGAAGTGCTAAGAGGCCCCTTTAACTCTGCTTGGAAGAAACTGTGGCCAGAAAGTGTAGACAAAAAGGGATTTTGAAGGGTTTGAGGGTAACCCCGGGAAAACCATCCCGTTGAGGAATCCTTGTGGCATTGGGGAAGTCCTTGGGGTTGGAGGATAGTGATTTGAAGCTGGTCCTTGGCATTAAAAGAAGAAGGGAAGTAACCCCAGAAAAGGACTTGACACCTCAAGTCTTAATGGAAGGGGATTCACCTTCTAAACACTAAGACTCTCTCCTCCCATCCCATCAATCATCACCAGATCTTCAATAAAGGTAAGTGTCATGTAACTGTGCATGCCTTTTTCAGTTTGTGTGTATTAAAATTAATATTTCATGTGGTAATTTTTTTTTTTATACTTTGGGGTGAGTTGCACGGATTAATTTGATTTCCATTATTTCTTATGGGGAAAATTCATTCGCATAACGATAATTTCGCATAACAATGAGCTCTCAGGAACGGATTAATATCGTTATGCAGGGGTCCACTGTATTTTCTTTTTGGGGACTTTCCTTCTTTTTGGGTCATCCTGCCTTGGTGGGAGACTGCTGACTTGTTAAAAAAAAAAAAAAAATAAAACTCCAACTCATGTGCAAATTTCACTTAAATCCAACCCCTCTCATTCATACCTTTTTGTTTTTTAACACATTGCTTGTCTCCCACTGAAGCAGGGTGACCAAAAAAAGGAAACTCTTTTACCATCATTCACACATAATCAGTCTTCACAGAGGAGCCCAGATATGACAATTTAGATGTCACTCCAAACAGCCAATATCCCAAACCCCTCCTTTACAGTGCAGGTATTGTACTTCCCACCTCCAGGACTCAAGTCCGGTTTTCCTGAATCCCTTCACACAATATTACCCTGCTCACACTTCAACAGCTTGTCAGGTTCCAAAAAACCACTCATCTCCATTCACTCCTATTTAACGCACCCACACATGCCTACTGGGTGTCCAAACCCCTTGCACACAAAGTCTCTTTTACCCCCTCCCTCCATCCTTTCCTAGGATGACCCCTACCCCTCCTCCCCTCCACTACAGATTTATGCACTCTCCAAATCATCCTCTCTAAATGATGAAACCACCTCAACAACCACTCTTTAGCCCTCTGAATAATACTTTTAGTAACTCCACACCTCCTAATTTCTATACTACAAATTCTCTGCATAGTATTTACCCCACACACTGCCCTTAGACATGACATCTCCACTACCTCCAGCCACCCCAAGGTTTTTAGCTTCAATAACCCTACTAGGCAGACTTACACTCATCAACTACTCTATTTCCAAACCAATACTTTCCTATATCCTTTCTAAACCTAAACTTATCTAATTTGAATCCATTATTGCAGATTCTCTCTTGGAGGGATATCCTCAAAACCTTATTTATATCTCCATCTTCCACTTATATACTTCAATTATGTCTCCCCTCATTCTTCATCTTACAAGAGAATGTAATTAAAGGGACTTCAATCTTTCTTCCAACAGAAGAGTTCTTAAGCTATGTATTAATTTTTTTCTTTCTTCGCTGAATGTTTTCTTTCAAATTTATATATCCATTCTGTAATATGGAGACCAGAACTGAGCTGCATAATCTAAATGAGGTCTTACTAATGATGTGTAGAGCTGTAGTATAACTGCTGGACTTCTGTTGCTAATGCTTTTTTATATAAACTCCAGTATGCTGTCTTGTGAGGCCTGAAAATATACCCCTCTTATGCCTGGGATATGAAAAAAATCTAAATTTAAGCTAAAGTAATGGCCAGGCTCATCATAGAGTATGCGGTGTATTTACTAAGATGATACACTGTATAAGATATGGATGAAATAAGCTGACATACTTATATGGTAAAACCCATAGTTATACAAAGCATTTTGGGCAGACTGAAGATTAAGAAAAATTATATAAAATATTGATGGGATAGTAACACACAAATGAAGTGAAAGGAGATCCTTTACTGACAATGTTTTGCCCACAAAGTGGGCTTTTTCAAGTCACAAACAGAGAAACCTTCTCAATCATAAATTTGTTTTTTAAAGCTAGCCAAGATATAAGTTTTAGCACACCTAAACTGATTCTGAACCTCATTTCTATAAAGTGGCATACTGTACAATGTACAATTAGGGAAATTGACATATATAAACTACTTTATTGAAATCCCCTTGTTATGCAAAGTGTTTCTCTGTTGGTGATTCATAAAAAACTTATTATGTGGGAAAAAGTTATCAATAAACGATCTCATTACACTGCAATCGTCTCTCTCGAACCAGACTTAAGATTAAATGAACCTTATAATAACTGACTTAGTATTTAATGTTGAATTACAACAGAAAATTGGCAGCTTAATAAGCTAGTGACAAGAGAAATGTTAGACATATTTAAGCTTCTAGTACACCACTTGTGAATAGTGACAACAATTCAAAAAAAATAGCAACCTTCTTAAATTTTCTTTTATAATCCATCTTCTCATCATCAGGTAAATTTCTGAATGTCTTCGCTGCTACAAACTTCTTCATAGGAGCACTGACTTTAGAAAACAGGCCCTCTGCCTTTTTTTCATAATAAAATAAGAAAAATGATGTGGATGGAGGGCGAAGTGGCATACCAAGGTGCCTGAAAAAGAAACTTCATTGTAGATTAAAAACCATTATTGTGAAGATGGAAGGAATATTTTGAGGAAATGTTGAATAATGACAAAGAGAGGTTGGCAGTGATTTCTTATGCTGGGCAGGAAGGTATAACACCTTTCAGGAGTGAGGAAGAGCCATATATAAGTGAGGGGTAGGTACATGAGGCAGTGGGTAGAATAATAATAGGGGAACAAGAATAGGGAAAATATTAGATGAAAGACAAGGTTTCGGGATTTATTTCTCGTAATAAATTGTTAACAGGATCACATGAAGGTAAGGTGATTTTTAACAGTAGCTTTGAAATGTTGGCAGATAGGGAGCCTCTGGAATCTTCAGGCAGCATTCCAAATTTTAGGTCCTTTTATGCACACTGAGGTTTTACACAGGTTGAGTTGGAGACATGGTATATCATAGAAATTTTTGCATGGTGTTATGCCTGTGAGTTATGTTACAGCCATCAAGAAAGAGATGCAGAGAAGGATTGATATTGATATTGTATAGGCAGTATGCACAGTAGTATGAATGGATTATATGTATTTTATGAGTGGACTATATGTACATTAAGTAAATTTAGACTTTTGAAAAGTGGAAGGTATGTGTTATCTGGCACTAGATTGGGTGACCATTCATACAGCTGCTGTTCTGTAAGGAACCTGTCATTGCATTTATGGATTTAGAAAAGGTATACGATAAGATGGATAGTGGAACAATGTGTCAGATGTTGCAAATGTAGTAAATATGTGGTAAGTTACTTAAAGCGAGGCACGGGTTAGGGTAGAGTGAAGGGAAATTATTTTCCAGTAAAAATAAGCTTCAGACAGGGATGTGTGATGTCATATTTATAGATGGGGTTGTAATAGAAGTGAATGCTAGGGTATAGGGAAGAGGTGTGGGATTGAAAGATAATAAATCTGGCATGGAATGGGAGTTGTCACATTTGCTATTTACCAACGATGGTTCTTTTGGGAGATTCTGAAGTTGCAAAGTTTCAGAAAAGAATTTGGGAAAATATGTAAAAGAAGGAAACTAAGAATGAATATAGATAAGAGAAAGGTGATGAGAGTATCAAAAAAAGTAGGCAATGAGAAGCTAGATTTGAGATTGGAGGTGAATGTGCTCAGATATTTGGGAGTGGATTTGTCAGTGGATGGTTCTATGAGATATGAGATGAACCATAGAATTGATGAAGGGAAAAGGGAGAGTGGTGAATTGAGGCATCTGTGGAAACCATGAACTTTATTCATGGAGGTAAAAATGGGGAATGTACAAGAGCATAGTGATAACAACACTGTTACAGATTTGAAATGCTTAACAATTCGCAGATGGGTGAAATTATTTACAAACAACGCGGGTGTAGAGCAGGTCCCTCCTGCCTGTCCCAGCTACTGGACCACTATGACAAGGTTCTGGATGCTGTAGAGGATAAACAAAATACAGTGGACCCTCGCCTAATGCTATTAATCCGTTCCTGAGAGCTCAACGTTAGGCGAAATTATCGTTAGGCGAATTAATTTTCCCCATAAGAAATAATGGAAATCAAATTAATCCGTTTCTGACACCCCAAAGTATGAACAAAAAAAAATTTTTACCACATGAAATATTAATTTTAATACACACAAACTAAAGAAGACATTCACAGTTACATGACACTTATCTTTATTGAAGATCTGGTGATGATTGATGGGATGGGAGGAGGGGAGAGTGTTGATGGTGTTAGTGTTTAGAAGGGGAATCCCCTTCCATTAGGACTTGAGGTGGCAAGTCCTTTTCCGGGGTTACTTCCCTTCTTCTTTTAATGCCACTAGGACCAGCTTGAGAGTCACTGGACCTGTCGCACAACATATCTGTCCATAGAGGCCTGTACCTCCCGTTCCTTTATGACATTCCTAAAGTGTTTCACAACATTGTCAGTGTAATAGTCACCAGTACAGCTTGCAATAGCTGTGTGAGGGTGATTTTTATCAAAAAGGTTTGCACTTTAAGCCACATTGCACACATTTCCTTAATCTTTGAAGTAGGCAACTTCCTCAATTTCTCTATCCCCTCCTCCAAAGCAGTTTACTCAGGTGTGGCCTCTTGCTGTTGAAGATGATCTAGCAACTCATCAGTGGTTAGTTCTTCATTGTCCTCCTCCACCAACTCTTCCACATCCTCCCCACTAACCTCCAACCCCAAGGACTTCCCCAATGCCACAATGGATTCCTCAACTGGCATAGGATTCTCAGGGTTAGCCTCAAACCCTTCAAAATCCCTTTTGTCTACACATTCTGGCCACGGTTTCTTCCAGAGTTCAAGGTCTTCTTAGTCACTTCCTCCCAAGCCTTACCTATAATGTTTACACAATTGAGGATGCTAAAGTGATCTCTCCAAAACTCTTAGAGTCAATTGAGTTTCTGAGATCACTACAAAGCACCTTTCAAACAGAGCTTTTGTGTACAGTTTCTTGAAGTTGGAAATGACCTGCTGGTCCATGGGCTGCAGGAGAGGAGTGGTATTAGGAGGCAAAAACTTGACATTACTGAAGCTCATTTCCGCAGAAAGTCGCTTTGCCACGTCTGAAGGATTACCAGGAGCATTGTCTAATACCAGGAGGCGCTTAAGGTCTAATTTCTTTTCAATTAGGTAATTTTTCACAGTGGGGGCAAATGCATGGTGTAACCAGTCATATAAAAAGTCCCTAGTGACCCATGCCTTACTGTTTGCCCTCCACAGCACACACAAATTAGCCTTGAGGACATTGTTTTTCCTGAACACTCTGGGAGTTTCAGAGTGATACACCAATAAAGGTTTCACTTTGCAATCACCAATAGCATTGGCACACATCAACAGAGTAAGCCTGTCTTTCATAGGCTTATGTCCTGGGAGTGCCTTTCCTCCTGAGTAATGTAGGTCCTGCTTGGCATTTTCTTCCAAAACAGGCCTGTTTCGTCACAATTAAACACTTGTTCAGGTTTCAGTCCTTCACTGTCTATGTACTCCTTGAATTCCTGCACATATTTTTCAGCTGCTTTGTGGTCCAAACTGGCAGCCTCACTATGCCTTATCACACTATGTATGCCACTACGATTCTTAAATCTCTCAAACCAACCTTTGCTGGCCTTAAATTCACTCACATCACCACTAATTGCAGGGATTTTTCTAATTAAATCGTCATGCAACTTCCTAGCCTTTTCACATATGATCGCTTGAGAGATGCTATCTCCTGCTGTCTGTTCTTCGTTTATCCACACCAATAACAGTCTCTCAACATCTTCTATCACTTGCGTCTGTTTCGAAAACAAAGTTGCACCTTTGGCAAGAACAGCTTCCTTGATTGCCGTTTTCTTGGCCACAATAGTAGCGATGGTTGATTGGAGTTTTGTGTACAACCTGGCGAGCTCAGAGACACGCACTCCACTTTCATACTTAGCAATGATCTCTTTCTTCATATCCATAGTAATTCTCACCCTTTTTGCTGTAGGGTTGGCACTAGAAACTTTCTTGGGGCCCATGGTGACTTATTTTGCAGGTGCAATCACTAAAAAGGCTGTGATAATATGAAATGTTCCAATTGTATGCTTGGAAGCGACCGCGGTGGCTGGCTTGTAAACTCTGGCACCCACGGAACAAGTGAGGCGGGCTCAGGCTGCACGTGGACGCATCTCGAACGAATCGCGTTGAGCGAGTTTTTTAGCGCTAGCCGAGGCAAAATTTTTGCGTTAAAATGTATCGCTAAGCGGATTTAACGTTATGCGATGCATTCGTTAGGCAAGGGTCCACTGTACAGATGTAGTATACAGACTTTGCAAAAGCTTTCGACAAGTGTGACCATGGTGTAATAGCACACAAAATGCGGGATAAAGGAATAATGGGAAAAGTTGGTAGATGGATCTATGACTTCCTGACAAATAGAACACAAAGAGTAATAGTAAACAGAGTAAAGTCCCAGGCAGCCATGGTAAAAAGCTCTGTTCCACAAGGCACAGTACTCACTCCCATTCTATTCCTCATCCTTATTTCTGACATAGAGATGTAAGCCATAGCTCCGTGTCTTCCTTTGTGGATGACACCCAGATCACCATGACAGTGACCTCCATCGAAGACACTGCGAGACTCCAAGCGGACATCAACCAAATCTTCGAATGGGCCACCCAAAACAATATGAAGTTCAACGAGGAGAAATTTCAACTACTGTACGCAGATATGGAAAACTTGAAGAAATTAAAAATGTGTCAGGGTACAGTGGACCCCCGGTTAACGATTTTAATCCGTGCAAGAGGGGTAATTGTTATGCGAAATAATCGTTATGTGAATGAATTTTCCCCATAAGAAATAATGGAAATAAAATTAATCCGTGCAAGACACCCAAAAGTATGAAAAAAAAATTTTTACCACATGAAATATACATTTTCCCACACACAAAGAGAAGGATACATGCACAATAGTAGAGTAGTACATGCACAGTATATATTGTGCATGTACTACTCTACTAAATGAAGAATAAATGACACTTACCTTTATTGAAGATGCAGCAATGACTGATGAGACACTGTGTCCTGGGAGTGCCTTTTCCTCCTGAGTACTGTAGGTCCTGTTTGGCATTTTCTTCCAGAACAGGCCTTATCACACTGTGTATGCCACTATGATTCTTAAATCTCTCAAACCAACCTTTGCTGGCTTTAAATTCACCAATATGAGCACTAGTTCCAGGCATTTTTCCCTGTTCACCTGGGTATTAGTCGACTGGTGTGGGTTGCATCCTGGGAGACAAGATTAAGGACCCCAACGGAAATAAGTTAGACAGTCTTCAATGACACTGACTTTTTTGGGTTATCCTGGGTGGCAAATCCTCTGGGGTTAATTGTTTCTTGGTATTCTCAATAAGCCACACCAACAACGGTGCTACAGCAGCAGCAGCAGCTGACGGTGGTACAGCAGCAACAGACGGTGGTACAGCAGCAACAATGCTACAGCAGCAGCAGACGATGCTACAGCAGCAGCAGC